AAGTTTGCAGTTATTTTAGTCGTTTGTCTACTCCATCATCTATGATACTCATGGCTGGCAATTAGTAAGCATATTTTTTTTTTGGGCGATTGTTTGTTTTGAAATATTAATCGGGGGGCTCGACTAGAAATTGACCCATTACTATCAAAACAAAAAACATGTGCGATATCTTTTTTTCTATTTTTAATGGCGAAAATATTCAAAACATATATTTCACGTGTTAGAAATGTGCACGCATTTCAAATTTCTTGTACAGGTTGCTAAGGTCTTATAGGGTATTAATTATTCGTAGACAATTTTTTAGTTGTGTATTTATTTTAATTTTTTTAATTAGTCATTCCCTAAACTTTTAAAGCAGACATGATTTCCTCTTTTTGCAAAAAAAAATTTTAATTTTTTTGGAAAAGAAATTAAAGGGATTTAGTTTTGTTTTGTTCTTGTGTGATAGAAAGAAATATGAAAATATTTATCTAAATATTTAAATTCATTGTGGGTGGAAACTTTTTATATTTTTGTTTCATTTGCCATATTTTGTATTTAGTACACCATTTACAAAAAATCGGACGAAAATATATATGGGAGCTATATCTAAATCTGAACCGATTTTTATGAAATTTTACACACATCATTCTAGACCTAATTCATTGAGCTGTGCCAAATTTCCTGCAAATCGAAAGATATATAGAGACCGTTTACATTAAATCGGACGAAAATATATATGGGAGCTATATCTAAATCTGAACCGATTTTTCCCAATTTCAATAGGGTTCGTCCTTGGGCCAAACAAGTAACCTATGCCAAATTTAATCCAATTCGGATCATAAATCGGGCCTGTACTTTGTTTACACTTTAACATGGACAGACAGACGGACGGACGGACATGCATAAATCGACTCAGAAAGTGATTCTATGCATATTCTCAAAAGGAACCATGTGTATATGCCGTTTCCTTTTGCCTGTTACAAACATATGCACAAAGACATAATACCCTGTACCACAGTGTGGTGAAGGGTATAATCACACCACCATTAGGTGCACTATGTTTATTAGGGTAGTGGATTTTTTTTTTTTACAAGGAAATAAATATTTTTTAAAAATTATATTTAAAAACAGTGAGCGGAGCAGTATAGTCGGACGGGACCGACCATATGATACCCTACACATCTTCCACGAAAATCTAACTTTCTATGATTCTATATTCAGAGCATGGGCAATATTTTGCGATATTTTTACCCGACTTGTCAACAAATATTTCTAATATTCAGTAGACGAGGGCTGTACTTGTACAGATTCTTCTTACCGTGGGTTATGTTGTGATGTTGGGGTTTCAATTATGGCATATAGATCGGCTCAAAAAAAACCCACCCCCCTACACACACAAAAAGTTAAGTTTTCCGCCGTCTAGTGTGGTAATGGGTTTGTAAATACGTAAGCACCTGTAAATATTTAAATGTAACTCCCACCTCCGAGTACATACGACAATATAATTGGTATCAATTTAAAGGTCAACCACTCCTCTTGGATATACTATCAACTTCTCGGGTCTATGTCCTTCTGGAGTAAATATATTTCCTATAGAATACAAATTTTGTAATTTTTCACACAATAGTCAGGGTCCATTTGAACCGCTAAATATTGACCGATCTTTATCAAAACAAGCATGCTTATTCTTTGGCCCAATCCCCTTCTCCTTGTAGAAATTCGCGATGTTTGGGCCATAATTGCGGCCTCTAGAGCAACCACAAAAATCGACAAAAATTAAGTATTTGGTCCATTTCATCTCCTAAATTTTAAACGATCTTTACCAAAAACAATAGGGGGTCTTCATTGGCCAAAACCCATCCTACATGCAAAAATTCGTGAAGATTGGTTTATAACTGTGGCATGTATCGTGTTTACAAATTATAATGAACAAACGAACAGACGGACGGACACACATGTCTAAATCGACTCAGCTAGTCGAGATATGATGATCGGTATACTTAAAGGTGGGTCTAGGACCAATATTTCGCGGCGTTACAAACTCTTGAGGCTGCACAAATCTATGATACCCTGACAACATAGTTGTGTAGGGTATAAAAATAAAATATTAATATTTTAAAAATGTAATAAATATCTATATATTATATAACAATTTTTTTCAAGGGCTATAATAGGCGTGGATTTATTAAAAATATTTTTTCAAAAAATTTCCTAGATGAAATGATCTGAGTATAATTTTTTCTTCGAGTACTCCCTGTGGGCTTTCCAATGATCCGATGAAATTATTTTTTTTTTTCAAAATTTCCGATATGAAATAATCTGGGTATAATTTTTTTTTAGAGTACTCCCTGTGGGTTTTGCAATGATACCTTCCATATGGACCTATCCCTCCCAGATTGTGCACAGTGGCATTCGTTGATAACGTCTTGAAAAAAAAAAAAATTAAAAAATATATTAAATGATCTGAGTATAATTTTTTCTCAGAGTACTCCCTGTGGGTTTTGCAATGATACCTTCCATATAGATCTATCCCTCCCAGATTTTGCACAGTGGCATTCGTTGATAACGTCTTGAAAAAAATATTTTTTCAAAATTTCCGATATGAAATAATCTGGGTATAATTTTTTCGTAAAGTACTCCCTGTGCGCTTTCCAATGGTACCTTCCCTCCCTGAATTAGCATGATACGATTCATAAAAAAAAATTACTAAATTCCATTGGTATAATTCGTTTTTAACTTCACACTACTGTGTTATACTGATCAATATAACTGTTATACAGTATGGTCGTGTATACTTTGGTTTGTGTCTTCGCTAGTTAAAATCGTTTTTATTTTAACGTTCATCCTTCACCACACTGTGAAGCAGGGTATTACGTCTTTGTGCATATGTTTGTAAAAGGCAAAAGGAATCGAGATAGACCTGTGGTTCCTTTTAAGAATATGCATAGAATCACTTTCTGAATCGATTTATGCATGTCCGTCCGTCCGTCTGTTGATGTTAAATTGTAAACAAAGTACAGGTCGCATCTTTGATTCGAATTGGATGAAATTTGGCACAGCTAATTTATTTGGCCCAAGGACGAACCTTATTGAAATTGGAGGAAATCGGTGCAGATATTAGATATAGGTCCCATATATATATATATTCGTCCGATTTTAGGTAAATGATGCACCAAAGTCCCTACATATATCTTTCGATTTGCACGAAATTCGGCATAGCGTACTGAATTATGTCTAGAAAAATGTGTGCTAAGTTTCGTGAAAATCGCTTCAGATGTAGATAAAGCTTCCATATATATTTTCGTCCGATTTTATGTAAATGGCGAACCAAAGTCCCTATATTTCCTTCGATTTGCACGAAATTTGGCACAGCGTACTGAATTGAGCCTAGAATGATGTATGTGAGGTTTCGTGAAAATCAGATCAAATTTCGATATAGCTCTAATATATATTTTCGTCCGATTTTATGTTAATGGAACACCAAAGCCCGTTTATATCCTTCGATTTACACGAATTTTGACATAGCGTACTAAATTAAGACTAAAATGATGTGGGCTATGTTTCGTGAAAATTGGTTCAGATTTCGATATAGCTCCCATATATAATTTAGGCCGATTTAATGTAAATGGTGCACCAAAGTCTCTATATATCTTTCGATTTACACGAAACTCGGCATAGCGTACTGACTGGAGTGTATAATGATGTGTTCTAATTTTCGTGAAGATCGGTTCATATTTAGATATAGCTCCCATATATAATTTAGGCCGATTTAATTTAAATGGTGCACCAAAGTCTCTATATATCTTTCGATTTACACGAAACTCGGCATAGCGTACTGACTTGATTGTATAATGATGTGTTCTAATTTTCGTGAAAATCGGTTCATATTTAGATATAGCTCCCATATATAATTTCGGCCGATTTAATGTAAATGGTGCACCAAAGTCTCTATATATCTTTCGATTTGCACGAAATTCGGCATAGCGTACTGACTTGAGTGTATAATGATGTGTTCTAATTTTCGTGAAGATCGGTTCATATTTAGATATAGCTCCCATATATAATTTCGGCCGATTTAATGTAAATGGTGCACCAAAGTCTCTATATATCTTTCGATTTGCACGAAATTCGGCATAGCGTACTGACTTGAGTGTATAATGATGTGTTCTAATTTTCGTGAAAATCGGTTCAGATTTAGATATAGCTCTCATATATATTTTCGTCCGATTTTATGTTAATGGATCACCAAAGCTTCTATATACATTTCGATTTAGACGAAATTTGGCATAGGATACTGAATTAGGTCCAGAATGATGTATGTTTAGTTTTGTGATAATCGGTTCAGATATAGATTTCGATATAGCGGACGAAAAATATATATATATATATATATATATATTTTCGTCCGATGTTAAGTAAATGGTAAGAAGCAACTCTATATCTTACCAAATGAAAAATTTAGTATAGGTTGCATGTTTATGGATCCAATTTCATTTTACTGGTCCTTCAAAAATGCAACGACTCTTAGGATTCATCTGTTGAATATACCCAAAGTGGAGAAGGGTATCATATAGTCAGCCCCGTTCGACTTTAATTTTTTTTGTATTTATTATTTGTTTATACTTATATTATTAATATTTATTAATATTTTTATATATATAATATATTTAATATTTATTATATCCCAGCAAGCTTTTTAGATCGGACTTCTATCATGAAGTCAATTTTTTCTACGACTTATAGTTATCAACAATTTCTATACTAAATATTTATAATATTACACAGTTTGACTTGTTTTTTTCATGTTGTTGTAAATCATAACAAATATGTTGTTGTTGTTTTAAATGGAAATATTAACACTAGCTACAGGATATGCTTGTGTTTCAGCTTTATTATAAATTGAATTGATGGAACTGCATGAATCCCCTTTTTTGTTTTTATCTCTCCCGCTTTCTCTTTATCACCTTACTAATCGTTATCGTTATTTTTCTCTTTTCGTTTTTCTCTCAAAACTTTAGAACCTAAATCGGTTTGGAGATTCTATGGGTTCGCTGGGACATCGAGCACTTCTGCAATATGTGGACGCCAATGATATATCCGGTTTGCGTTCCATCTTAGATAGTCGCCATCTGACGGTAGATGATCGTGATGAAAATGGTGCCACACTGTTGATGATTGTTTCGACACGAGGTCTAACGGCATTTGTACGTGAGCTATTGGCCCGGGGCGCTGATGTTCAGGCCGAGGATAATGACAATTGGACGGCACTCTTGTGTGCCTCAAAGGCGGGGCATTTTGAGATTGCTCAGTTGTTGTTAGATCATGGAGCCGATTTGGAACATCGTGAGATGGTAAGGAAGATTTTCAATTTTCTATTTCAATTCCATTCTAATTTGTATTTCCTTCTTTCAGGGAGGCTGGACTTCATTGATGTGGGCTGCCTATCGTGGCCACACCGAATTGGTTCGATTCTTCTTGGAGAAAGGTGCCGATGTCAATGTCCATGGTAATTACCATTTGGGACCATTGCTGTGGGCCGCTGGCCGTGGCTTTAAGGATATTGTAGAAATGTTAGTAACCCGCGGTGCCAAGGTAAATGTGGGCGATAAATATGGCACCACTGCCCTCGTGTGGGCCTGTCGCAAAGGCAATGTAGAAATTGTCGATACCCTCTTGAAAGCTGGTGCTAATGTTGATACAGCTGGTATGTATTCATGGACACCACTGTTGGTGGCGGCCTCTGGTGGCCACACCGATTGTGTTACCTCTGTTTTGGAAAAGAAACCCAATGTCAATGCATTGGATAAAGATGGCATGACCGCATTGGCTATTGCCGCCAGAGAAGGTTATCAGGAAATTGCTGCGGCTTTAATTGCTGCCGGTGCATATATCAATATACAAGATCGCGCAGGCGATACACCTCTTATACACGCCGTTAAGGGTGGACATCGCAGTGTTGTCGAAGCTCTACTCAAGAAACATGCTGATGTCGATATCCAGGGTAAAGATCGTAAAACCGCCATTTATACCGCCGTAGAGAAGGGTCACAATCAGATTGTCAAAATCCTCCTGCACACAAATCCTGATCTCGAAGCTGCGACCAAAGATGGCGACACGGCTCTGTTGAGGGCGGTACGCAATCGCAACTTGGAAATAGTACAAATGTTATTAGATCGTAAGGCTAAAGTGGGTGCTAGCGATAAACGTGGTGATACATGTTTGCACATAGCAATGCGTGCCAGGTCCAAGGCAATTGTTGAGGCTTTGCTGAGGAACCCGAAGAACAGTCAATTGCTATATCGGGCCAATAAGTCGGGAGAGACACCCTATGCCATTGATACAGCCCATCAGAAGACAATATTGGGTCAAGTATTTGGTTCACGACGTTTGAACACGAACGAAGATTCTGAAGGCATGTTGGGCTACGAGCTATACTCCTCGGCCTTGGCTGATGTTCTCAGTGAACCGACTCTCACCACACCCATTACCGTGGGTCTCTATGCCAAATGGGGCAGCGGAAAATCGTTCCTGCTCACCAAGTTAAGAGAAGAAATGACAAATTTTGCCCGTCAATGGGCTGAACCTCCGATACGAACAGCTGGTCTGCTATTCCTAGTTATTTTCCATCTGGCCCTTATCCTCGGCACCATTGTCGGCCTATGCACCTGGTCATTTACCTGGGGTCCTGTGGCGGGTGCCAGTTTCCTGGCCTTTACATATCTCCTGCTTGCCATCATCCGCTATTGCAACTACCAAATGGATATGTACTGGGCCTACTCGATCGATCATGGCATACAGAAACGTATTGGACGTCTAAGACTGATTTTCCAAGTGGCCTTTTGTCATCCACCCGGTGCTCAGGCGGATAGCCAAGCAAAGCCAGTACGTTTCCACTTTGCCGAGGCTAGTAGTGCATCGCCGACAGGTGAAGGAGCTGTGGCCCATATGTTAGCCTCCTTGTTTGAGGCCATAGAGGTCCACTATGGTTGGCTATCAACTCGTCTCTACAGAGCTTTTCGCCCCAAACCCCTGAAAGTTACAGCTGGTTGGCGCTGGCGTCGCATGTGTTGTGTTCCTATTGTGGTAATCTTTGAAATGGGCCTGCTAACCCTCATTGCAGGCGTTTCCTTGGTTGTGGCTTACTTTGCCCATGGTTCCAGTGTAGATAGTAACAATGTCCTCATGTCAATTTATGTAATCTGTGCCATTTTGGTCACAATTATCTGTACCAATCTGCATGTATTGGCTAAAGCAGTTGGTGCCCTCTTCACATCGCAGGGCCGACATTTGAAGCGAACCATTCGTTCGAGTGAAGGAGCACCGCTTACAGCCTTGGGCACCGAAGTGGCATTAATGACAGATATGATTAAATGCCTCGACGCTTTCACCAATCAACAAAGTCGCCTAGTGGGTGTTGTGGATGCCTTAGATTCCTGTGATACCGAGCGGATCCTCTCCGTTTTGAATGCCATACAGACATTGCTCTCTTCACCAAATCGACCCTTCGTAATGCTGATTGCTGTGGATCCACATGTTATTGCCAAGGCGGCAGAGGCAAATAGTCGTCGTCTCTTTACCGAGGGTGGTATTGGTGGTCATGATTTCCTAAGGAATTTGGTTCACTTGCCGGTGTATTTGCAAAATTCCGGATTACGTAAGGTACAACGGGCTCAAATGACAGCATTGTTATTCAAGCGCAATTATGGTGAATTACAATCTGATGATGGACCCACATTGGGTCATTCTGTCTCGGCCAGAAGGCTATCGAATGCATCGGAAATTATGTCAAGTCAGGAGAAATTACGTGGTCCCTTAGGAGGTGGTCGTGGTGCTGCATCGGGTAAGAAGTCATTACGGCTCTCCGAATCTGTGGCCAGTTCAATTGGTTCGAATCTACATCGTTTGGGTCAAAATCCTCAAGGTGTCTTGGATATGTCGAGAATTATGTTAACCGATGATTACTTTAGTGATGTTAATCCACGTAGTATGAGACGTTTGATGAATGTTATTTATATTACGGGTAAGTGTGCGGCAGAGGAAGGGGAGGGAACTGTTTTTTAATTTTTCATTTAATTTAATATGTTTTTCTTTTTGTTTTCAGTTCGTCTCCTCAAGGCATTCCAAATTGATTTTAGCTGGTATCGTCTAAGTTCTTGGATTAATTTGACTGAACAATGGCCATTGAGAGCCAGTATGATTGTGCTGCATCATGATCAATTTATGGAATCATTCGATGACAGCGTTCCCCTGCAAGCGGTCTATGAAAAGTAAGTTACGAGATGAGGTCTCTTAATGATCTACAACAGAAATGCTTACTTTATAAGGGCCAATGATCAGTATAAAGACCTATTGGCCTATATATACGCCTATGGTCCCTATACATATCAATTGGTCTTTATAAAGACGTGTGGTCTCTATACAGACCAATAGGTCTTTATAAAGACCTGTGGTCTCTATACAGACCAATAGGTCTTTATAAAGACCCGTGGGTCTTTATACAGACCAATTGGTCTTTATAAAGACCTGTGAGTCTCTATACAGCCCAATTGGTCATTATAAAGACCTGTGGTTCTCTATACATACCAATTGGTCATTATAAAGACCTGTGGTCTCTATACATACCAATTGGTCTTTATAAAGACCCGTGGTCTCTATACAGATTAATTGGTCTTTATAAAGACATGTGGTCTCTATACAGACCAATAGGTCTTTATAAAGACCTGTGGTCTCTATACAGACCAATAGCTGTGGTCTTTATAAAGATCTGTGGTCTCTATACAGACCAATTGGTGTTTATAAAGACTGTGGGTCTCTATACAGCCCAATAGGTCTTTATAAAGACCTGTGGTCTCTATACAGCCCAATAGGTCTTTATAAAGACCTGTGGTCTCTATACAGCCCAATAGGTCTTTATAAAGACCTGTGGGTCTCTATACAGCCCAATTGGTTCTTATTAAGACCGGTGGGTCTCTATACAGCCCAATTGGTATTTATAAAGACCTGTGGGTCTCTATTCAGATCAATTGATCTTTATAAAGACTTGTGGGTCTCTATACAGCCCATTTGGTCTTTATAAAGACCTGTGGGTCTGTACACAGCCCTGTTTGTCTCTATACAGACCAAATGGTCTTTATAAACCTCGGATTTTTAATATATATATATATATATATATAATTATTCCTTCTCTTCTCCAGAGTCCGCCCCAAATTGGCCTGCTTACGTGAAGCCGCTCCCCTTCTCGAATTGGATCGTGATGAGCGCAAATTAGATGCTTTCCTACAATTGCATAAATCTGATTTATTGGTAGCAG